CACAATAAGTGATACAGCCAAGACTAAGGGTGGTCTGTTAGCAATTATTTATTCTGTTTTTCAATACAACCAAATGTCAAACTGTCACTGCTCTAGGGCTTTGTTTTCCCTTGTTGCTATGTAATTGCTCTCCTCCTTTTCCACTTTCTTTTTATTTTTTTAATATTTTTTTCAGTTGCAGATGGAGACAAAATCTTTATTTTATTTGTTTATTTTTATGTGATGACAGGGATCGAACCCAGTGCCTCACACATGATAGAGAAGCCCTCTACCACTCAGCCACAATCGCAGCTCTCCTTCTCCACTTTATCTTGTATGTGCTTTTATGTTCTGTTTTTCTTCTTTTTCTTTCCTTTTCTTTTCCTCTAACTTTCTCTATTCAATTTTCACAATGAACATAATCTAAACTAGATCATCTGGTATTTTACTAGGGAAGACAAAGAAGGAATAGTTAGAAAGAAGATGAGTTAGGATTGTACATACAAAAGAGTTCCAAGAAACAAGAGAAAACAAAGGACTGACCTTTGAATCTAGAAGAAAAAAAAAGATGTGTGATTATAATTGAGAGAAATATTTTTTTTTTTTAATTTTTTATTGTGGGTTGTTCAAAACATTACAAATTGAGAAATATTTTAAATAAACTGTTGAAGAGAAGGTTGTGAGATAGAACAACATTTGTTAAGGAAATGAAGACAAGCAATCACTGTAGACTACTTATTTTAAAAACTAGCATTAAACAACAAAAAGAACTAAGATCACAGCTAAAAAGGACAGCTAGATCAAATAAAGGTTGGAAGGGCAGTTATATTTTGGTTTTTGTTTGTTTAACTAGACAAATCTGGGCATGATTAAATACTAAAGTAAAACCAGTTGTCTACTGTCAAAAGTCAAATTGTTCTATGACATTAAGAACTTCATGTGTCATGTTTATAGATATCATGTCCAAGGTTTGGCACATAGTAGATGATTATTATAAATACACTTATTCAAAAAAAATTACAAATTTTTTTTATAATAAACCCAGGTTTTGGTTGCAGTATTTAATCCTATATCTTCTACCAACTGAATGCTGCACTAAAACGTTCATTCATTATACAAATATTGGTATACTATCTCTGTGTGCCAGGTACTATTCTAGGCTATGTGAACATAGCAACAAACAAACTTAAAATACCCTTCCTCTAATGGGAAGAACTGAACACATACTATAAACTTAAAAGTAGGAGATGCAAAGAGTAATAGGCCCTATAAGGAATAGAAAAGCATAATATTTACTATTAATAGGAAGGAGCGAATAATGTTGCATATAGAATGGTCATGGAAGACCTCTCTGTTTAGATGTTATCTGTATAAGAAAATAAGTCAGGCAAATAATCAAAGAACACTGTGGACAGATAAGATAATAAACCCAAAGATCTGAGAAAAAAAAGCACTTAGAGGATAGTGAGGAAGAAGAAGGTAAACCTTCAGATTGAAGTAAAAGGAAAGAGTAACAGAACCAAATGCAAGATATCCATAGTTCACCTATAATTTTAACAGCACTTAATCATTTATGAATTCTTTCACACATAAATAATTTTTAAATTAATGCAAGGGGGAAAATTAGAAAAATTTCAAATTTATTACCCTGCAAAATTTGTTTTGTATTTTTCCTTATATAAGCAATAAATTCTACTTATTTCAATACTGTAAGCAATAATCTGAAATACAACATGTTATTCAAAAAGTTAAAAGTACTTTGAATTTTTGATATTATTAACATTCATGAATCTCAATTATGATACAACTTCCTTATAGAAAGCAGTGTTCTACTCAATAGATGTAAATATTCTCTCTGAACAATTCTACTGGAATAGCCAGTGGACAAGACTCCAAGCAGGCACAGGTGACTAATTCTAAGAGCTGCATGTTAAGAAAAATACACATTAGTGTAATTCTAGTTTTCTAATTGTATCCCTTTCTTTCTTATCTGTCAATAACTTAGTATGGTTTAAAATAATTCACCTAAGCGGGATATGTAACTCATTGACAGAGCACATGTTTAGCATGAGCAATGTCTTGGGTTCAATCCCAAGAACCAGATAAATTAATTTCATTAAATAATTCAGCTGTTTCCATATATGTCATAGTACCTACCACAGGTTAGTATACATAATGGACAACAGATTCCATTAAGTCAAGATATTTTTCATACTACTATTTTTTGTTTAGTAATGCTAAGTAAAAACAATAATAGAAATAAAATATTTTAGTATCAAAACATCTCTATACTACAGATAAAAGATTTTCAGAGGACATGGTTTGGGGAAAGCAAGGTAATTAGCAAAAGAAGCCAAATTTCTTCCAAGAAATTTTAAAAAACAAGTTTTAAATTTCTCTTTATGAAATAGAAATATTAAGAAAACATGGAAAATGTACATTTGAAAAACAGAGAATGTGCCTACAGTTATAAAAGCAATTAAAATAAAATGAATAAAATCTCAGCGTTAAACATGCTGTAAAATGTGCACTTTCAATGCAGACAAGATGGTTACACCCACTCCTATTAGAAAACTGAGACAAAATGGGAAACTAATGAGCTCAGCTGCAAGGGATTTATTTGTTTGTTTTTTAATTTCATTTACTTGCTCAAAACATAATTTCTATTTTACCCTAATGTCTTTTGTAGGATATAAGGGGAATCAAATGTTCCCAAATAAGAATCTGAATAAACTGTGAAAATGCATAATACAAGCTTCATAGTTCTAATGCACATCTACTATATTCTGTCTTAATATTTTTGACAGGTTAATCATTTGTCTTCACGTTTAAAGAACACAAGTGTTTTGCTAGGCTGATAAATAGATCATGGGGGTAAAAAGAAGTGCTGGGGTAGAAGAAGATCTGTTTTTTGAAGATGCATTCTTAAGCAAATGTGGGGACATATACTTATGTACTGACCATGGTATGCGGAAGATGTGGTTCATTATGAAAGGAGAAATAAGTAAAGCCCACTGATCAAAAATAAACATTTTAACAGGAAATTTGCTATTTGGAATAAGGAAATAAGTTATCCTGGAAACCTTTCAGACAAAAAAAAAATTAAAAAACAGCACTAAACATTGTGCTAACATCAGCAACTTTTAAAAATCTCAAAGCTAAATAGAATCCAAACAGGTTACAAAAGAATGGATAAAGTAGCAAAGGTGACAAAATTAATGTCTGTTTGAAAAACCAGTTCACCGAGCAAAGCAAGGAGCTAGATGAATAAAGATATATTCGGTATTCATTTTCAGTTTTAACTGGCTATATTTAGTACTGTTTGTTTTGCTCTGACTGGAGCTTGAATTTAATTAGAAACAAAAATATGAGTAAAATTTTCATCAAATTCAACTGCAGTTCTGTTTTAATTTTTAAATAATGTTCAATTTCAGGTCTTACTTAGGAAAAAATGTAAGTCTGATTCCATGACAACAAATAGTACTGTGATGAACATCAGTAATGAAAATGCCAAGCCCCAGTCCAATATCTAATATGGAAATGTGATTTAATGTAAGTTATGAAACATAAACACAACGACAGTACAACAAAAGAACTGGAGAGTCCACTGGAATTTGCTTAAGTTACAGATCATGATTAGTGACTAACATGTGTTAATGACTAACATGTATAAACAATTCTAGCTGGATTTTTTTTTTAGCTTAACTAGAATTGAAATTTGAAGAGAAATTTATGAAAGCAATTTTAAAGCACTTCTATTTACACTATAAAATTTTATTAAAAATAATTCCGATCTATACAGATACCCAACACCACCTAAAACAAGTGAACTTGTTTTTTCTCTCTCTCCGTTTCAATTAATGATACCACTTATTAGAAGTTCCTAGACTTAAAATTTCAGCATCTTTTCCCCCAGCAATCTATTCATTGTTACCTATTCACAAAGTCCTAATACTTCTGAGGTTTGTCCTCTTAGCTCCAGTCTCACTATGAAGACATTAGTTTAAATACCGCCTTTATTAGTCTCCTACAATCAGACCCAAACTGGTCTCCCTGTCTCTAGCTTTAATTCATCTTACCATCTTACCAATACATTTTACCAACTCTTGCCAGATTAAAGCTCTAAAGGACAGATCATGTCATTCTACACCTCAAAACTTCTAAGAGGTTCCTGCTTTAATAAAGAATAAAAGACCAGGCTCATTAGTTCATCAATCAAAGTCCTGCTCAATATAGCATCAATCTACCTTTCCAACATCACTCCCCATTATGCTCTTCTATTTTAATGTAGAGGTACTCTTCCCTATGGACAAAGAAAATTAATTGTTATTTCTTGGACCTGGCCTATAATTTCTACTTCCCTGATTAATGTACTCCTTCTGCTTAAAGTAATAATCCCAAACTTATCCAATTATTTAGGATACAGGGTACAGTTTAAATGTTACCTCCTTCATGATGCCTTCCCCATTCCCCACCTATATGTAAACTCCTTCAATGAACACCTACAGAACCTTGTAAATTCATCAAGTAATACCACTTTATAACATGGCTCTTTACAAAAAGAAACCTCTCTTACTAGATTTCTTACGGGAGAGAAAAACCATGAGGGGAAAATTCCTTAAGGTAAAATACCTGTAAAGTCATGCAGTCATATATACACACACATATATAAGCTAAATGCATAAATTAATGAGCATACATATTATATTAATAAAGAGGTATAAAAGTCAATAAAATAATATGATGACAACATACCTAGTGTAATATATTCCACTAACTTGGAGCTAAACTCTGATCTAAATTTTAAGAACCAGTACTGCAAAGTAACTACGTTCTCCTATTAGATTATCAATATTAATGTCGGGGGGGGGATCAAATCTACAATTCTTATAACACAAAACTCAAACATCAGGACATGCTATTTGCTCTACATATATTATTAGCAACTTTGTTTTCTGACTGAACTAAATTGAGAAGAAACTTTTGACAGCATTGCGAAATAACAGAAAATTCTTCCTTACTTCTAGTAAGCTTAGGAAACTTTTTTTTCAGTTTCTTCCTTAATGGATTAAGCTCAGGCATTATTTCTGGAACAGCTACATAAAAGTCTACTTGAACTTCATCATCCAAAATCTGAAAATCAGGGGAAAAAAATAATCTTAGATTATCTTTTGAAAAACAAGTAATTTTCATTTTGATACAGAAGAGACATTAAGCACAATTTTTTTCTTCAAATTCAAGGACCTTATGAATGCACTTACCAATTAAGAAAACAATCAGAAGCAAAACATTTTCTTTTAAATACAGACACATTCATTTTTAACAAAATATTTAAAGGTTTTAATTTTTCCATGAAGTTGTGTTAGGTAAAAAGGCATTATAAGCTAGAATATAGCACTAAAATGTATACAACTCATATAACTTCACAAAGTAGAATTCATGTCTGTTAGAATTGAAGAAATAAGCTTATATTTTTGCAATAGATCACATGTAAAATTAATAATCACTAGGTGCCAAACTAACTAGCAACCAGTAGCTTTATAAATTTAGAGCATGGAGAGAGCTGAATCTATAATTATTTTCGCAAAGAACTGAACTAAAATTCTCCTTGTCACCAATACCTAAAAATAAAAGATGTGGGGGGCAGTCAAAGACAAGTTCATGCACAGTTTATTATCCATATTCTATTTCCATTTTCAGAGCAGGGGATTAATATTCAGTTTTTAAAAGATTTTTTTCATTGATTCAGGCAAGCACCTAAAGTAACTATTATACTACTATACTACTTAAAAATTTAATTGATTATAAAATGAAACAACTGTTTAGAACAATATTGCCTGGGCAACAAGTATTTCAGCAATTTTTGTTTGTTTTCTGTTTTTGCGTAAAATCCTACCAAAATATGCTACTCAAAGCCTTGGTTTAGGGTTACATGGAATCCAAAAAATTTGAACTTTATAATAAAAAAAAGCACTGATTCTTGAATTTTATCTTTCTGTTACCAATATTTCATTTTACAAATTCTTTACTCCTTAAATAAAATAACATGTTCTCCTTTACAATAATAAATGAGTACTTCTCAAGTGCCATGAATTCTGCTAAATATATTACATGATTTAGTTCATCCAATCTTTACAACGACTCTACTAGGCAGGTACTACTATTGACCACGCATTCCAGATAAAGAAACTGAGGGCTTAGGGAGGACAAGTTAGTCTCTGCACTCCTCAGAGTGAGAGCCAGAATTCAAACACAGATAATGTGATTTTAGAATCAGGACTCTCAGCCTTGGAAATAGGAAAGCAGAGGCAATTTTGAAAATGTCAAAAGAATTGTATGTAAATTTTCTACTTAAAGACTTTCCAAAATTAATTCTGTGTCATGTTCCTTTAAATTAAATTAAAGTTATGTTTGAAAGTTATGCTATAATTAACCTTAACCTTGAAATAATACAAATCTGTGGATGGAAATCATGCTCTTAGAGATAAGTAAAAACATGAAATTACTTTCAAAGTTCTCAGAACCAAGCATATTTGTGATATTACAAAATAAAATTTAATAAAGTTCTTATCTAAGAAACAACTGAAAAATTAGTAATTTTATCATAGTTTACATTTTATAAGAGCTAAGTAATTACAGTACACTAATTCAGAAATATAGGAATGGGATTGGGAATGTAGCTCAATGGAAGAACACTTGCCTAGCATGCACAAGGCCCTAAATTCAATCCTTAGAACCACAAAAAATAAATTAGTTAATTAAAATAAAAATACAGGAATGCATTTTTAAAATTGCAGCCATGATACTATTTACACAACTATGTAGAATTTACTTCATAATCTGAATACCTTCTAAAAATAACATGGACACTCTTTTTAAAAGAGACTATGGGGTAACTTGCAAGAATACAGTGATTAAGATCACTTAAACAAATGGCACAGTCCCTTTCATAACAGATCCACCACCGAGGTCCCTAAAGAAAAATGCTGGTACCTGTAAGTTTTATGTATCAAATAACTTCAAAGTGTATTTGGTTTCCTTATTTGGATTACTTTTTCAAATATGCTTCCTCTGCTGAATTTATAAAATACTTTCTGTTCCATTACCATTTCTTCTTTGATAAGTAACTTAACTTCTTAAAGTTTGAGAATTGAAAGAGTGGCTATGATAGCTCTACTAGATACCTTGTGCTTGCAGGAGAAAACAGATGAAAGGCAATATACAAATGTAATATGAATAGTCTCTGACTTAAGAAACCAAGCTCCACTCTTTTTTTTAAATAAACATACAAATTAAAATTGATAATCTAAAAAGAATTGGGTACTAACCTCCAACTTGGTCTAGAATCTTTGTTAAAGTATATTCTCTTCCTAATTTCTTTTAGTTCTTCTCCCAAAACTCATTTTTAAGACTCCATATAAAAATTTATAATCTCCCACAAATTTAGAATATTATTGGAGTGGGAAAAAAATAAATTACCAGCACTGCCATACATTCCAAAGGATGAGCCCAGATAAAAGTTCCCCAGATGAAAATCTGGATACTGAACAAAGGATACATTTTCAAATCACTTTTTCCTATTCTGCCTCTCCCCCCTAAAAAAAAATCCATAATCTAAATGATTATCTTTAGAAGAGGAGCTTTTAGGGAACATTAAAGTATCATTTGTATTTCAGAAATAGCTATGTGCCTATTTCCATCTTAAAAAAAAAAAATGCTGTTCTTTTCAAAAAAACACTCCACAGGCTCTGTTATTTTCTACAGGCAGCTACACAGTCATTTGTCAGCTACCATGCTGAGCCTCTGCCACTCAGAACTGAGTAGAGAGTAAAAGTTAAGAGGAACCAAAAGCACTATATTATAGAGGTCAGATACTATGCTTTTTGATCTATCAAGTGAATCACTCCAAGAAAGCAAAACAGATATTTGATCTTCAGAAGATGAATAGAGCCAGGCACAGTGGCATACCCATAATCCCAGCTACTGAGGAAGCTGATGCAGGAGGATCACAAATTCCAGGTCAGTCTGGTTAACTTAGCAAGACCCCGTTTTGAAATAAAAAAGTGAGCCAAGCGTGGTGGCACACTCATGTAATCCCAGCAATTCGAGAGGCTGAGGCAGGAGGAACACAACTTCCAGGCCAGCCTCAGCAACTCAGTGAAATGACGTTCTAAGCAACTTAGAGAGACCCTGTCTCAAAATAAAAAATAAAAAGGGTACTAGGGATGTAGCTCAGTGGTAAAGCACCCCTGGGTTAAATCCCTAATACCAATAAAGAAACACTGATGGACAAAAAGGAAGAGGGGTGCATCCTGGACATGACAAGAAACCACAAAATAAATCAAATATAATCAACATCATTTTGTTTTTTCTTACCTTGATTTTGAGATTGAAAAAGGAAAGTTTTTCCCTGCTCTATAAAAATCCCTACTAACAATTTATCAAAAGATATGAGCCTGGTGATTATGTTCAACATGTAATAAATCAGTGGATGGCAAAGATAACAGAACAATCTCTATAACTAATGAACATGAAAACAACACTATACCTTCTGAATCAGACTAGTTCCTCCTGCAAACGCAGCTCCATTTTCTTCTGCTATTTCAATCTCTGATGCATTCTACCAAAACACAATAATGTGAACATCAATCTTTTTAACAACTTTAATATATTTTTGAATATTCTATCAGAAATAATCAGCATTCAAAATAAAAATCATGGTTTTATTTTGACATCAATTTTCAATTAAATGTATCAGTTTACAACATTCATTACATGTTTAATTTGTAGGTATTTAAAGTGCTTCTTGACAGACATATGATGAAATACACCAAAATGGCATATTAGAAACCAACTAAATGGTAGGTATTAGTTTTATCAATATATTACCTTTCAAAAGTAAAAGGTTAAAATATATTTAGTTCTGCTAACTTAAACAGAAACATTTTATAAACCAATATTAAGAGGGTAATTTTTTTCAACTTAAGAACTAAAAAAAAAAAAAAAACTTACCAGGTGTCTGAAAATTTCAAAAGAAAAATAAATAGTATTAGTTATTTTTTTTTTATAAAAAATGGTTTTATTGTGAAAATGTTTCAATCTCTTAGGTATCAAAGTTCTGTGACATTCCAAGAACTATATTCCCCACTTTTCTGGGAAGAAGTAAAGTATCTTCCTTGAGAGTAAGGCAGAGCAAATGAAAAATGCCTCAATTTTGAACTTTGTATAGAGAAGAATCAAAACATAAAACATACATAAACACAGTAAAACAAATTAACAAATCCATTATTAACAAAGAGATGTAGATGGATTACTACATTTGTTATAAACTTTTGTTATAAACATTTGCTATAAACTTGATTTCCTAACTTTCTAGATATTTTTAGAAGATGTGGTTTCTGAGGATACCTAGCACGATTTCCTAACTTTCTAGATATTTTTAGAAGATATGGTTTCTGAGGATACCTAGCACTAAGTGGTACTCTTGCTTTAAAATAATCCTCTTGTGTAAAGGAAGAAATTTAAGTAGTAAGAAGGAGTTACGCAGATAAATTGTATGGTACTCTTCAGTTTCTTGTGAAAAATATAATGTGATGTATTAGTAATGATGAGTGAAATTTTCTATTTGGCTCTATCTCAAATTAGTACCATAAATCCAAATAAGTCATCTGCTTTGAACTCTAAATGGGGAAAACAAGATGCTGATGAATACCTAAATTTTCTCTATTTATTCAGTTATTCAAACCACTGATTAATGCGATTTCTAAAATAAACGAAATGATACAAATAGATAACAAGTTACTTACCCCAGTAAATACAGCAACTTTATTGATTTCTGATGCAAATGGGTATGGAAAACTAATAACACTGGCAAATGGCTCCACTTTTTTCTAAACATACAACAGGAAAAACAATTATAAAAAGTTCATTTTTTTTCTATTATCTCTCACTTTCTATAAAAACCAGAACTGACATGTTTTTCATTCTTTGATTCTACCATATGTCATTAATCCAGAACCATTCTTTTGATTATAAATTAAAGATCAAGAAACTATATGTCCTTTTTATGAAAATATAATAAAAATCTAAATCTCTCTTCCCAGCTCCATACTCCCTTAGCATCTGCTTCTCTCTCTTTATCACTTACCACAGTCTCTCAAATATTAAGAGGTATATCTGTATATCTATAAGCCCCCAGCACCTAGTATGATATTTACCATTTCATTGATATAAACAGATGTTTCCTAAATTGACTTAAAATTGTTAAAAAACATGTAATTTTCTGACACAGTCAAGAAAAATATGAACACAGCTATACAAAATGAACAACAGAAAATATCTAATTCATCTGTTTAGTAGGATACCCCTAATTGTCATACTTGCTCTAAACAATTAGGTAAAATAGATTATTTTTTAATATTTATTTTTTAGTTGTAGTTGGACATAATTTTTTATTTATGTTTATGTGGTGCTGAGGATTGAACCCAGGGCCTCACATGTGCTAGGCAAGCCCTCTACTGCTGAGCCACAACCCCAACCCCTAGATCCTGTTTTGAAATAACCTGGATCACTATCATTTTTTTTTTTTTTTTTTTTTTGGAAGGGAGCAGGGGGGATTAACCAGAAATCAAAAATAAACAATAGCATGCATTTGAGGCACTCTAATATGGGTAGAGATTCTACAGGGCCTCAGAATTAATCCACTCCATCATTTTGGCCAAGGGCATTTGTAGATCTAAGGCTCAGGTGTCTTAGGGAGACTACATGGAAACAAGTTCTAGGCCCTTCACAGTTTTGTTCAAGCCTTAAGGTTTGGAGGGGAAAAGGAGAGAGAAAAGACATTATTCTGCTAATAAAACTGAGTGAAAGATAACATTCTTTTGAGTAGAGACTCTTGAGGGGGAGGGGATTTCTTTTCTGACAAAAAGGATTTTTAAAATTTCCTTTTTTAAAAAATTTATTTATATGTGTGTGTGTGTGTGTGTGTATTGGGGATTAGACCCAGGGCTTACACATGCTAAGCAAGTACTCTATCACTAAGCTACATCCCCAGCCCTATTTAATTATTTAGTTTTGCAACAGAGTGTCACTAAGTTGCCCAGGCTGGTATTGAACTTGGGATCCTCCTGCTTCAACCTCCAGGATAGGTGGGATTACAGACATGTGCCACTGCACCTGGCTAAGAAGGCATAAATTCTTAAGCACATGTTATATCAGTCATTTAACTTATTATTGATTTGCATTCCTTTGCCATTAACATGTCATAACTGGTTTCAGTAGTAAAGCAATCATAACAGCATCCCCCAGGGAATACTGGCTTGTTGTGCACTCTATAAGAAAAAAAAAAAGCTTTAGGATAATGACAGTACCTTTTAATGTCATACATTTACAAATGACTTCCATATACAAAATGAAGCTTGTGTCCTACAAGACATTGTTATGAACTTCTTTAATGGTTAACTAAGAAAAGTATCATCTGTACTACAAAACTTTTAAGATAAAGAACTAAGAGTAAGGCTGGGTGTGGTGGTGCATGCTCTAATCTTAGTGGCTGGGGAGGGGAGGCCAAGGCAGAAGGATCTCAGCTCAAAGCCAACCTCAGCAAACATGAGATGCTAAGCAACTTAGTGAGACCCTGTCTCTAATAAAATATAAAATAGAGCTAGGGATGTGGCTCAGTGGTCAAGTGCCCCTGAATTCAATCCCTGGTACCCCCCTCCAAAAAAGAACTAAGAGTAACATAACATACAAAATAAAAATTGTAACATGACTGGTATAAACTGTTTCTAATGAAAACTAAGAAATGAGATAAACCTTGGTTCAAATCTTAACTCTACCCGTGCTCCATAACCTTGAACAAGATACTTCACTTTCTCTGTTTCCTCTTCTGACATCATTATAGGATTAAATGAGAAAATAAGTGCAAAACATTTAGTACTGTGACTGATACACAGAAAGTTTTCAGTAAAAGTAATTAATAAGTACTAAATCCTTTACATGTATTATCTCATTTAATCCTCAGTAGAACCAAACTAAATATTTTATCTCTCTTCATAAAGAGATGGAAAAACTGAGACTTAAAGAGGTTAAACAATAAATCCAAAGCCAAAAAGCAAAGAAGTCCAGGGTCAAAATATGGTGACGGAGGGCTGGGGCTGTAGTTCAATGACAGAGCACTTGCCTAGCATGTGTGAGGTACTGGTTTCAATCCTCAGCACCACATAAAAAAACAAATTAAATAAAGGCACGATATCCATCTACAACTATAAAAATTAAAAAAAATATATGGTGACAGCATAATATGGGTTGGTTTATACTGTAATTTGACTCCATTGCCTATACTCTTAAACATAATGCTGTGCTGCTTCCTCCTAGGTGCTTGCTTTCTTTTGCTGTGCAGGTTGTTAATTTGTATTACAAAATTTAAATCTTCTAATTTGGCCCAAAAAAGACATTTTAGAAAATAAAATAAAATATCATTTCTAAAATGTTAGATTTTTTAAAGAGACGTTTATAAAATTTAGGGCTGTAATAGACCTCAATACTAACCTCAAGGTTTTCTCTCTTTTAGAGTTTTATAAAAGTCTTCTGAAGAAATCCAGGGTATGAACATAAAAAACAGAGAGGCTCTGATTAAAGCATGAGTGAGGAGTTTGGTACCTAAGCCATGCAAACTTAGTCTCATCTAAGACTGTAAGGAATACATTTGAGCTAATCCAAAACCCTCATTTACAAAGAAGAAACATGATACCCAGATAGCTTAAATTATTTTCCAAAGTTACAATGATATCTCAATTTTAACACTACTTTTGTTGAAATGTATACTAGTCATTCTTTAGGAGAACAGGAGATATATATATTTATCAACTCTCCACAGTGTCTTTAATTTTATATTTTCAATATTTCATATTTCATCTTTCAGACCTGGAAAATTTTAAAATTAACATTTTTTATGACACACTATAGAAAGAGCATGAGATTTTCTAAAAATCATTGTGGGTACAAGAATTTTAAAAACTAAGAAATATCAATTCATATAGTCACTGTTCACAAATAAACATATTTTAATTGGGTCTACATACCTTTTTCCCCAATGCCATATCCAGTGTCAAATCAAGATAAACCCCTTGCTTTGGATGAGTAAAGTCCAAAATTTGAAATTTCTTAAGTAACTGAATAGCTTTCTCCACCTCATATATCTGCCTTGGGTATAAGCGTTTTAAATAGACATCATCTTCAGGTTCACCTTCCATGTAGGAATATGATTTTATTTTTTCTATCTCGTCTTTTTTTTCATCTGTCGCTTTTTCTTTGGTATCTTTTTTTGTTTTCTTTGCAGGCCTTAAAAAAAATTATCAAGATCAGTTATATTAATATTCTAGGAGGTTTTTTGTTTCGTTTGTATAGGGAATTGAACCCAGGGGTACTTTACCATTGAGCTATAGCCTTAGCCCTTTATATTTTTTTATTTTGTGACAGGGTCTTGCTAAGTTGCTGAGGACCTTGCTAAATTACTAAGCCTGGCCTTGAACACATGATCCTCCTTGCCTCTGCCTCCAGAACCACAAAGTTTACAGGTGAGCTTCACAATGCCTGGCCCTAGGAGATTTTTTAAAGACCAATCTACATAGGACAGAGAACACTAATAAAAGAAAGTTTATTTAATTCAAAAGCATAGATTGCTTTATAGTTTTTCAAATTGAACAAATATTAAGTGAACTTTTCTACTGTTTACAGTCAGTAAAACTTAAATAAAGCATTGATATTGTTCTCCAGAAATTTACAGAGGAATAGAGAAGACAGGCATGCAAACTGATAATTTCAATTTAATGTGAAAAGTACTACACGAAAGTGTTATCAAGGTCTTAGGAAAACAAACAACCTATTGTAGGAGAGTATAAAAGAGTGCTAGAAGAGATGACCTCAGAGTCAATTATTGAGGAATAAGGAAGTTAGCATGGATATACACCCCCCAAAAAGAAAACATGTCCACCCCAAAACTTGTACATAAATGTCCCTAGCAATGTTATTCATTAATAACCAAAAGAAATTAACAATCCAAACATCCAACAACTGATGAACAGATACATAAAATGTTGTATAACCATATAATGCAATGTTAATCAGCAACAAAAAGGAATCAAAAAAAGGAATGAAGTATTAATACCCCCTACAATGTGACTTAACCTTAAAAACATTATGCATTTATCAAAAATGGGCATATCAATAGGGACTAAAAGTAGATTTAGTGATTATCCAGGCCTGAAAGGGGTTGAGGAAATGGAGAGTAACTCTTAATGGGGATGGAGTATGTGTGAAGAATAATGAAAATGTTCCAAATAAAAGTGATCACAGCAGGGTGCATGGTGCATACTTGTAATCTCAGCAACTTGGGAGGCTGAGGCAGGAGAATTACAAATTCAAGGCCAGCCTGGGCAACTTAGCAAGATCTTATCTCAAAATATAATTTTAAAAAGGCAGGACATGTAGCTCAGAGGTCCAGTGCCACTAGATTCAACACCTAATACAGTTTAAAAAAAAAAAGTGATTAAGTGATTCTAATGATGGTTGTACACCTCCATGAATATACTAAAACTACTGACATGTACATTATATCTTAATATAACTGTTATTTTAAAAATAAGAGCCATGAAAAGAAACAACATAATAAAAATCACTGGGCCATGAAATAAAATGATATACAAGAGGAGCTATTATAAGTTCTATATGACGAGCAATGATTGTCAAACTTTTTCTATAAAGGAACAGGTAGTCAATGTTTCAGCTTTGTGAGTCATGTGGTCTTCTGTCCCAATGACTCAACTCTGCTCTTGTGCAAAAGCAGCCGTAGGCAATATACAAATGAAGAAAGCTATGGTCCAATAAAACTTTATTTATAGACAATGAATTTGAATTTCATAGTTTTCATGTATCACAAACATCATTGTTTTGTATTTTAACCACTAAAAACTTAAAAATCATTCTTAGCTTGTAAGCTGAACAAAAATAAGTGGTGGATCAGATCAGACCCACTGGTTTGCTCATGTTTGAATTAAAAGGGCAAAAGAGAAGGCAGAACACTATAAAATGACGTTAGAAAATCTACATCACAAGGGTCTCCTTTAAAGGCAAAGAGAAGCCAGTGAACAAGAGGCTGAATTTCAAGGTTGAAATAAGAGAAATGGATCCAAAAGAAGCAGAATTGGAGACAACTAGAAAGCTACTCTCTCCCTAACTTCTCAAGGAGACATGAGAGCCTGAACAAGAATGGTGATGGTAAGGAAGCTGAAAAAGAGTGCAGAACAGAAAAATATTTACAAGGTAAATATTGAAGATAGGGGGCTGAGCCTGTGGCTCATGGGTAGAGCATTTGCCAAGCATGCGTGACACCCTGGGTTCAATCCTCAGCACCACATAAAATAAAATAAATATATTGTGTCTACCTACAACTAATAAATATATTTTTTAAAAAAATATTGAAGATAGGAAAAGGAGAAAGACAAGATTAAAATACTTCTTAGGTTAAGTGATGAGACATAAAATACTATCATTAACTAAGACCAGAAACAAAGAAACAAAACAGGTTTCTAATAAAGCAAACAGCTATAGAGATGAGTGCAGTTGGGATATACAGAGTTTGAGAAAAGGCTAGATTTATCATTTGCCCAATTTTTTTTAAACCTCCCTCTTCATTCTAGCCTCTTTGCTAAGTGACTTTGCAGTACCTCCCACTAAAGGGATAGAAACATATTTCCCAGCACCTTGACTTAGCCCTGTAACTAATTTTGACAGACAGAGTAAAGTAGAAGTGACAGTTTCTCTGTTCTCAGCTTTTCTCAGCCTAGGCCAGAAAAGGTTTCATGTTTTGACTAGGTTTGCTTTTCTGCCATTTTAATAAGAAGAACATGCCTAGACTAGCCCAAAGGTAGGAGGATGAGAGACAGGTAGAACAAAGCTGCCCCACAGAGCCCCAGGCTAGGGTAGACAATTCTCAGCTAACCTACAAACTCAGAGATGCACAGCAAGCCCTGATTTCAGACACATTCATCTGACTCTAACCTGGGTCAGCTGACCCATACACAAGTGGGCACTGATAAATAATTGTGGGGAGGTTTGTTACATGGCAAAAGCTATCAAGGTACTTACCAAATACCTAAGAAAGAACATTCAACAAGTAATGACAGGTAAGAGTTTGAAGGTAAGAACAAAACTGAGCATTAATTCAAACCATAAATTTTTAAATTAGTAAAACAGTATTCTAGAAAGATATGTGCATTCTATAGTAGGCACAATAATGCCCTCCCAAAGATATCCAAACATTTCTGACATTTTGCCATCTTAAAACATTTTGTTTATTTTAAATAGGAGACATCATTCCTAAAACAAGCTTTCCAGTCTCCCTCCTTCTCTTGGCTTCACTTCTCTCTTTCTAAAATCAGGTAAAAATGTGGTTTCTCCAGTTTGAAGATATTAGGATTTTGTGGAGTACTTTCAAGATTCTAATTCTGAAAACTTGTAAATACATTATCTTACATGGCGAAAGGAACTTTGTAGATGTGACTATGGTTAAGAATCTGAAGATGGAGAGATTATCACTATCTATGTGGGCCCAATCTAATCGCATAGGTCCTTAGAAATGTGAACCTTTCCCCATATCCAGCTATGTGGTGGGAAGACGATGACACTGGAGAAATCAAACATAAGTGGAATTCAACCTGACACTGGTTTGAAGATGAAGAGAGCACAAACCAAGGAATGTGGGCAGCTTCCTGAAGCTGAGAATGGCAAAGAAATGGATTGGCCCCCACACCCTTGAGTAAAAAAACCATCAACACCTTGATTTTTGCCCAGTGCAACCTATAGTATTTTAGGTCAGAATTCTGACCTAAAGAACCATAAAATGAAATTTTTAAAAAAATTTATTTTAAGCCTCAAAGTTTATGGTAATTTGTATGGCAATAATAAAATGAGTATGGGGTCCTATAAAATTTATGTGAAAGATATGGATAGTAAATATTTTTTAAAAAGGTCTCAAAAACCAATCTATCATAATTTTATTCTCACTTTTAGCACTTAATAAATCCTTATTACCACCTAGTAAGAGTATCCTCCCAGCTAATGAGCAATTCAACAGAATAGCAGATAATGACAATCCTCATTTTAATGGGGTGCAGAACTGATGACAAGTCTAAGCAAGTGCCCAACTGGATGGATTTAACATGCCTCAATAGCCACCTTAGAAGTGCTCCATAAAATCCTGAAATCTTCCAAACTAGAGAAACCACATTTTTACCTTACATTCAGTAAGGAAGAAGTGAAGCAAATACAAGATAGGAGACTGGAAAGCCTGTTTTAGGAATAAAGTCTCCTATTTAAAAATAAATAAAATGTCCTACCTACAGTCTCCAAACTTACTTTATATAAATGCTGATTTTCACTACTAAATTTTCAGTCATAGTTGAACCAGTGCATTTAATCTGCAATGAAATCTCCAGTGGCTGAAATATGGCTTTCTAAATTAATAAATACTTACAGCCAAGCACAATGGTGCACACCTGTAATCCCAGTGATGCAAGAGGACCACAAGTTCAAGACCAGACTAGGCAACATAGCAAGACCCTATTTCAAAATTAAAAATAAAAAGAGCTGGAGATGCAACTTAGTGGGAAGCATCCCTGAGTCAAATCCCCAGTACCACAAAAAATAAATAGATAGATATTTACAAAAACCAAAAAAATCTGATATGCAATGAGACTAAACAGTTACAGAGCAATTTATTTTATAATTATAGCAATGTTTCACAAAACATTTGAGGTGGTTCAGTAAAAAGTTTTAAGTTTAAGATGGAACATTGTTATTGTATAAATAAAACAAAAATAGCATAACATCAATATAAAAGATCAAATAATACTCTCAGAAAAACACATTTGCTCAGTGGTAGAGCATATACTTTGTATATATGAGGCCCTGGGTTCGATCCCTAACACAGGAAGAAAGCAGGGAGAGAAAAATGCATTATTCAAATATTTTAAAAACTTCAATTGAACGAACTCCTTCAATAATAGTTACTCTTACAGACCTACTGCCTATTTTCCACAGCCTCCCTCCCCCTAGCAAAAATGTTTATCCTAATTCATAAGAATTACATTCAGAAGAACTTTGTTGTTCAAGCAATTGGGTGAGGCACTATCAGAAGCGTTTAAATATTATGATTTTCATAATAAAATAAATCATACTAGAAAGGTTTGGGAGAAGGTAGGGAAAAACACCTGGCAGTCTAAATCTAAGAGAATAGAATTTAGCTGCAGTTACCTGGGTAACTAAACCACACGGATTAAATG